TATTTACCACTGTGTAGTTGTAGAAAAGAAACACTGTATTTACCCTGTGTAGTGGAAAAGATAACACTGTTTTTACCACGTGGAGTGTAAAAGATAACCGTGGTATTACCCTGTGTAGTTTAAAAGAGAACACGTGTATGTAACCCTTGTAGGTTAAAAGATCACACGTGTATTGACCCTGTTGAGTTTAAAAAAGAATAACACGTGTAATTTAACCGGCTGGAGTTTAAAAAAATTAACACAGTGTATTGACCCGGTGTAGTTTAAAAGATAACAATTGTATGTACCCCGGCGAAGGTAAGAAAGATACACGTGTATTACGCCCTGTGTATTGTGGGTAAAAGAGTATCACGTGGTGATTTACCTGTCGGAGTTGTAAAAGATAACCGTGTTTTTACCTCTGGTAGTTTTAAAAAATATAACACGGTGAGTGTACCCTGGTATTTAAAAGATAACACTTTGATTTACCCGTGTATGGTAAAAGAGACACGTGTTGTTTACCCGGGTTGTTAAAAGAGGAACACTGGGATTTACCTGAGTTGTTATAAAAAGATCACAGTTATTAACCACCGTGTAGTTAAAAGATTACACGGTATGTTCCCTTGGTAGTGTTTATAAGATAACACGTGTATTGTACCCCGTGTAGTTTAAAAGATAACACTGAAGGATTATCCCTAGGATGATTTAAAAAGAGTAACACTTTTATTATACCCCCGTGTAGTTTAAAAGATAACTCTTGTTTGACCCTGTAATTAGGGTTATGTTTTTTAAAGATTGGAAGAAAACGTACGTTGTGGTTAGGACCGTGTAGGTTTAAATTAGGATAACAATGTAGGGTCCCTGTGGAGGTGGAAAAATACACTGTAGTTGTACCCTGTTGTATTTAAAGATAACACGGTAAGTTAACCCTGGTGTATGTGTAAAAGATAACACTGGGGGAGTGTCCCGGTAGTTTAAAGATAGACACGTGTTTTTTACCGCGTGGTAGAGTTTAAAAGATAACACGTTAGTGTACCCTGTGTATTTAAAAGAAGATAACACGTGTTATTTACCCCTGGTAGTTTCGAAAAAGATTAACACGTGGTATTTACCCTGTTTATTTAAAAATAAAACGGGTATTACCCCTAGGAGTGTGTAATAGGTTAAATCGATGTATACACTGTAGTTTTAAAAAGATAACTCGGTATATGTTTCCCAGGGTTTTAAAAGAGAACACGTTATACCCGGGGGAGTTTAAAAGAAACACTGTTTTTACCCCTTTTTTGTAAATATTGCACGTGTATGTACACTGTGGTGTTGAAATTGAGAACACTGTTTGTACACTGGATGTAATAAGTACACGTGTAATTACACGGGTGGTTTTAATAATTTTATAGGTGGTTTTAAACCTGGTTGTTTAAAAAATTTAAACGTGTAGTGTACCCTGGGTAGTTTGGTAAGAGTAAATACTGGGAGTGAACCTGGGTAGGTGTAATTTTTTATATGTGGTAAAGGTTGGTTTTGTTATAAGTGTGGTCAAAATGAGTGGGTTTTTTGTAAAAGTGGGAAAAGGGTGGTTTTGTGTATATATTTGGTAAAAGGTGGTTTATTTTGATAGTGTGGTTAATGGTAGGGTATTTTTTGTTATAGTGGTAAAAGGTGTAAGAAAAAAGGTGGGTTAACGGGTGGTGTTAATGTTTAATATGTTGGGTAAATGGTGGAGTATAGTGTTACGGTGTGAAAAGGTTTGTTTTAAGAGTTCACGGTGGTATAAAGGGGGTTGTATTTGTTATAGGTGGGTTACAGGTTTGGGTTTGTGTTATCGTAGGTAAAGGGGGAGTGGTTAAGTTTATCTGATTGAAAATGTGTTGGTGATTTAGTAAATGTGGTAAAGGTGTGTATTTGATATATGAATGGTAAAAGGTGGGTTTTTTGTTATAGGGTGGGAAAGGTGGTGGGGTTTAGTGTTATAAGGTGTGTCAATGGGAGTTTTTTATAGGTGTTAAAATGGGAGGTTTGTTTTATAGGTTGGGTAAAGGTTGTTATAAATAACACGTGTGATGGACCCGGTGGTTGGGTTATTATGATACTCGTTTGTCATCCCGGGTGGGATAATTTAACACGTGTTGTTTACCTGGTAGTTTTAATGATAAAAACTGTATGGACCCTGTGGTAGTTTAAAGATAACAACGTGTATTTTAACCTGTGAGTTATAAGGATGCCACGGAGTAGTTTACCCGTAGTTTAAAGATAAGCGACGGTATTGACCCTGTGTAGAAAAACTAACAGCGTTATTTAGACGCCTGTTGAGTTTGAAAGAAAACACGTGTATTTACCACTGTGGTGTTTAAAAGATACAGCGGTGTATTGTGACCCCGTGTAGTTATAAAGGAGTAACGACGTGGAGTTTAATCCCTGTGAGTTTTTTGAAAAGAGAACACTGTATTTACACCGTGTAGTTTAAAAATAACAAGTGTATTTACCTTTGTATGTAAAAGATAACACTATGTACCCCGGGGGATTTAAAAAGAGAACACGGTGGTTTACCCTTGAAGGTAAAAGATAACAAACGTGTATTTACCCGGGTAGGTTTAATAGATAACGACCGTATGAACCCTGTGTAGTTAAAAGATAACACTGTATGTTACCCTGTGTTATTGAAAAGATAACTAGTGTTATTTCCCCGGGTTAGTAAAAATAACAACGTGTAGTTAACCCGGTAGTTAAAAAGATAACACTTGTATTTTTGACCCTGTAGTAGTTTAAAAATAACACGTGTATTTACCCTGTGTAGTTAAAATAACACGTAGTATTTAACCTGTGTATTTTAAAGATAAACGTGTATACTAGGCCCCTGGTGGTAGTTTGAAAAGAATAACACTGTATTGATACCCTGGGTAGGTTTAAAAAGAATGAACTCTGTATTTTACCTGTGTATTTTAAAAATAACACGTGTTTGACCCTGTGGATGTTAAAAAGATAACAACGTGTTTGACCCTGGTTAGATTTAAAAGATAACACTTATTCCTCCTGGAGTTTAAAAGATACGGACGGTGATATTTTACGCCTGTGTTAGGAATAAAAATTAGCAGCGTTAGGGTTACCCGTTGAGTTTAAAAGAGTAACACGTGTATGTAACCCTGTGTAGTGTTAAAAATGAACACAGTGAATTTACCCGGTGTTAGTTGTAAAAGATAACACTGTATTTACACTCTTTGATTTAAAAAAGATAACACGTGTATGTTACACTGAGTATGTTAAAAATAACACGTTTATGACCCGGTGAGTTAAAAGATAACACGGTGTTAACCCCCTTGTATAGTAAAAAAAGATAACACGGGTAGGAACCTGGGTTAGTTAAATAAGAACACGTGTTGTGACACCGGTTGTTTTTAAGATTTCACTATGTAACATTGAAGTTGATATATATTTAAAATGTATGTTCCACCGGTAGTTTAAAAGAGAGACAATTGTGGTGTTACCCTTGTTAGTTTGTGTGATATATGGAGATAATGGAATTCGGGATTCATGTTACAAAGATGATAACATAGAGACTTGTTAGGAAAAACAGCATCTCGTTATAATTATATAAATCCTAAAGTTATAACTGATAAGCTAATAACCAGAGATAAGAGTAATTGTGTAATGCTTTTGGACAAGAAGGGAAACACACAACGTAAGGGAAACACACAACGTAAGGGAAACACACAACGTAAGGGAAACACACAACGTAAGGGAGACACACAACGTAAGGGAAACACACAACGTAAGGGAAACACACAACGTAAGGGAAACACACAACGTAAGGGAAACACACAACGTAAGGGAAACACACAACGTAAGGGAAACACACAACGTAAGGGAAACACACAACGTAAGGGAGACACACAACGTAAGGGAAACACACAACGTAAGGGAAACACACAAGGTAAGGGAAACACACAACGTAAGGGAAACACACAACGTAAGGGAAACACACATCGTAAGGGAAACACACAACGTAAGAGAAACACACAACGTAAGAGAAACACACAACGTAAGGGAAACACACAACGTAAGGGAAACACACAACGTAAGGGAAACACACAACGTAAGGGAAACACACAACGTAAGGGAAACACACAACGTAAGGGAAACACACAACGTAAGGGAAACACACAACGTAAGGGAAACACACAACGTAAGGCTTGAATTCGTCGTAAAACAACATCATTAGAGCCTGTGAAACCTTTTAACTTTAAGATAAGCACTTTATCAAGTAAAATTCAAGAGTAATAGTGACTCTCCTAAAACAGCAGAGAACCGTATACCTTGTGTTTATGTTGCACATATATTGTGTTTATATTGCACATACATTGTGTTTATGTTGCACATACCTAGTGTTTATGTTGCACATACCGTGTGTTTATGTTGCACATACCTAGTGTTAATGTTGCACATACCTTGTGTTTATGTTGCACATACCTAGTGTTAATGTTGCACATACCTTGTGTTTATGTTGCACATACCTAGTGTTTATGTTGCACATACCTTGTGTTTATGTTGCACATACCTAGTGTTTATGTTGCACATACCTAGTGTTTATGTTGCACATACCTAGTGTTTATGTTGCACATACCTTGTGTTTATGTTGCACATACCTTGTGTTTATGTTGCACATACATTGTGTTTATGTTGCACATACATTGTGTTTATGTTGCACATGCCTAGTGTTTATGTTGCACATACCTTGTTTTTATGTTGCACATACCTAGTGTTTATGTTGCACATACCTTGTGTTTATGTTGCACATACCTAGTGTTTATGTTGCACATACCTTGTGTTTATGTTGCACATACCTTGTGTTTATGTTGCACATACCTTGTGTTTATGTTGCACATACCTTGTGTTTATGTTGCACATACATTATGTTTATGTTGCACATACCTAGTGTTTATGTTGTACATACCTAGTGTTTATGTTGCACATACCTTGTGTTTATGTTGCACATACATTGTGTTTATGTTGCATATACATTGTGTTTATGTTGCACATACCTTGTATTTATGTTGCTCCATATCAACAGCCCGTTCGCGTTCAATCTTCTGTACTTGTTCAGTTAGCTGACCAATGTTATCCTTACACTCCGCTCTGCACTATACAGGGGGTTATAGTTTACTCACTTAACTTGTTTGCTGAAAGTCGCGTTAAAGTTAATGCCGTGGTGTCAGTAAAATGGCACGGATCCATCCATATATAATATCGTCTTGCTTTATATATAGTAAGATTCTGTGTCCCCCCCGCAAACCCTCCCCCCTCTGTGTCCCCCCTCCCCCCTCTGTGCCCCCCTCCCCCCTCTGTGTCCCCCCCTCTGTGTCCCCCGGCCCCCCCTCTGTGTCCACCCTCCTCTGTGCCCCCCTCTGTGTCCCCCCCTCTGTGTCCCCCCTCTGTGTCCCCCCTCTGTGTCCCCCCTTCTGTGTTCCCCCCTCTGTGTCCCCCTCCTCTGTACCCCCCTCTGTGTCCCCCCCTCTGTCCCCCCTCCCCCTATGTGTCCCCCCCCTCTGTGTCCCCCCTTCTGTGTCCCCCCCTCTATGTCCCCCCCCCCCTCTGTGTCCCCCCTCTGTGTCCCCCCCCGCCCCCCCCCTCCTCTGTGTCCCACCTCTGTGTTCCCCCCTCTGTGTCCCCCCTCTGTGTCCCCCCCCTCTGTGTCCCCCCTCTGTGTCCCCCCTCTGTGTCCCCCCCTCTGTGTCCCCCCCCTCTGTGTCCCCCCCCCCTCTGTGTCCCCCACCCCCCCCCCCCTCTGTGTCCCCCCTCTTTGTCCCCCCCCCTCTGTGTCCCCCGCCCCCCCCCCTCTGTGTCCCCCTCCCCCCCCTCTGTGTCCCCCCCGGCCCCCCCCCCCCCTCTGTGCCCCCGCCCCCTCACTATTACTACCATTACTACTAAACCTGTTCTAATAAGCTTTGTTTCTCAGAGATGTTATCTTCATAAGAAGATATAACACGTCCGTTCTCTTCAAGCTGGGATTCCAGGCATTCTATCTCCGATGCGTTTAGTTCTAGTGTTCCATTCAACAATGATACCTGTTTTAGAAATTAATAGTGATTATAGACCCAGCAAACCCTACCAGCTGGGGTATATCTCCAAAAGTAAAATAGATAGAAACTTCCGGTTTTCAACAAAATGTCCGTCTCGTAAATTTAAAGTTAGCTCCCCAGGAGCCAAATTTGGGACAACTTAGATTCTGAATTAAACCGAAAAGTTTGATTTTGGGCTAAATAAAAGATCGTAGCTTTTAAACTTTGCAAAGTAATGTCGTTGTCATGACTACTAGGCTAAATGCAGCGTGCGAAAGCTGCTGAACTTGATTTGACGCGCGAGGACAAACGTGCTGTTGAAAATCGATCACCTCTAGCGAGCCCGGCAGGTGGTAAGGTATTCTGGGGATAGCTAAGTTTTCCAAACTATATTACAAATTTAGCAAGACAATATAGTGAGTAGAAAGAGAGAAACGACAGCAGCAGTGGCGCCCCCCTAACGACAGCAGCAGTGGCGCCCCCTAACGACAGCAGTTAAACCATTTGCAAAAGACGGAAGTGATTATAATATCAACTGCTTGAGTATGTACTGTAAAACAACTGTACTAAACTTGTGGTTATAATTAATACTAATTGTGGTGTAATTGAATAATATAAAGTCTTACATGTATCTTATAACTGATACTGAGTACATGAATCATAATGATCCAGTGATAGCGCCCAGTGATAGCGCCCAGTGATAGCGCCCAGTGATAGCGCCCAGTGATAGCGCCCAGTGATAGCGCCCAGTGATAGCGCCCAGTGATAGCGCCAAGTGATAGCGCCCAGTGATAGCGCCAAGTGATAGCGCCCAGTGATAGCGCCCAGTGATAGCGCCCATTGATGGCGCCCATTGATAGCGCCCAGTGATAGCGCCCAGTGATAGCGCCCAGTGATAGCGCCCAGTGATAGCGCCCAGTGATAGCGCCAAGTGATAGCGCCCAGTGATAGCGCCCAGTGATAGCGCCCAGTGATAGCGCCCAGTGATAGCGCCCAGTGATAGCGCCCAGTGATAGCGCCCAGTGATAGCGCCCAGTGATAGCGCCAAGTGATAGCGCCCAGTGATAGCGCCCAGTGATAGCGCCCAGTGATAGCGCCCAGTGATAGCGCCCAGTGATAGCGCCCAGTGATAGCTCCCAGTGATGGCGCCCAGTGATAGCACCCAGTAATAGCGCCCAGTGATAGCGCCAAGTGATAGCGCCCAGTGATAGCGCCAAGTGATAGCGCCCAGTGATAGCGCCCATTTATGGCGCCCATTGATGGCGCCCATTGATAGCACCCAGTGATAGCGCCAAGTGATAGCGCCCAGTGATAGCGCCAAGTGATAGCGCCCAGTGATAGCGCCCAGTGATAGCGCCCAGTGATAGCGCCCAGTGATAGCGCCCAGTGATAGCGCCCAGTGATAGCGCCAAGTGATAGCGCCAAGTGATAGCGCCCAGTGATAGCGCCCATTTATGGCGCCCATTGATGGCGCCCATTGATAGCGCCCAGTGATAGCGCCCAGTGATAGCGCCCATTGATTGCGCCCATTTATGGCGCCCATTGATGGCGCCCATTGATAGCGCCCAGTGATAGCACCCATTGATAGCGCCCAGTGATAGCGCCAAGTGATAGCGCCCAGTGATAGCGCCAAGTGATAGCGCCCAGTGATAGCGCCCATTTATGGCGCCCATTGATGGCGCCCATTGATAGCACCCAGTGATAGCGCCAAGTGATAGCGCCCAGTGATAGCGCCAAGTGATAGCGCCCAGTGATAGCGCCCAGTGATAGCGCCCAGTGATAGCGCCCAGTGATAGCGCCCAGTGATAGCGCCCAGTGATAGCGCCAAGTGATAGCGCCAAGTGATAGCGCCCAGTGATAGCGCCCATTTATGGCGCCCATTGATGGCGCCCATTGATAGCGCCCAGTGATAGCGCCCAGTGATAGCGCCCATTGATTGCGCCCATTTATGGCGCCCATTGATGGCGCCCATTGATAGCGCCCAGTGATAGCACCCATTGATAGCACCCAGTGATGGCGCCGCCGCCCAGTGACAGTGTGAGTAAATACCCTCTCAGCCCACTCACCTGATCTTGTAAAGATGTTAGTTGAGATTGCAGCGAGTCCTCCTCCTCCTCCTCCTTCTTCTTTTTCTCCTCCTCCTCCTCCTCCTCCTTCTTCTTTTTCTCCTCCTCCTCCTCCTTCCTCTTCTTTTCTTCCTCCTCCTTTTTGTTTTCTAACTTCTCTTGTAGATTTTCTTTTTCTTCCATCAAATATTTTATCTCCTCATCTTTCTTAATCTTTTCTGCCATCAATGATTCTATTTCTTCTTCTTTGCTTTTCATCGTCTCTTTTGCAAGGCCAAGTTGATCTGTATTTCCTTTTAACGCACTTTCTAGCACTCTCTCCTGAAAGATATTTGGTTGATAGAAAGGGTGCCAAACACATTTATTTTGGCAGATGAGTCATCGGCTTACCTCCATGACCTTATAAGTTAACTCCTCAAGTTGATAAACTAATCAAAACTAATCAATTATCATATTATGATCAATTCAATAATAATCAATTTAATAATTGTAAATCTGGACAACGTAAGAAAATCTCAAATTCTCTACGTTCGATTTCAGATTTTTAAGACTTGAGGGACATTGCTCTTGATAAAGTTAAATGGAAGTCATTCGAGAAAATTTAGCTATATCTTTTGAGGATCTTTTATTTTTGAGAGAGCTACGCTGTTTTTCAGATATTTTGAACTTTGATATGGTTTATAATAATAACCTGGACAATAGTGACCTCTGGCTCGGGTACCATACTACCAACCTCACCAACATCCATCACTTCAACTAGGGGCAGTGCAGCATCTTCTGGTGAATATACCCATTATCAGCGTGAATATCAGGGAATACTTAAAACTTTATCAAACACATACTCTGCACAGTACGGAACAAGAAGACAAATTAAAACATAACTGATAAAAAGTAAATACGGTTCCTACCACTGTTTTCATTGTTCTCTTTTTCCCTGTAATTCTCCAGAGCTTCTTCTTGTTTCATCAGTATTCTCCCGTACCTTTCCATCTCGAAATTTTCTGAGAAGTTTGTTCTATCAAGAAGAAGATCTTTAATGGGCAGCATCAGTTAGATCCCCCTCCCCCTCAGTTAGATCTCCCTCCCCCTCAGTTAGATCCCCCTCCCCCTCAGTTAGATCCCCCTCCCCCTCAGTTAGATCCCCCTCCCCCTCAGTTAGATCCCCCTCCCCCTCAGTTAGATCCCCCTCCCCCTCAGTTAGATCCCCCTCCCCCTAAGTTAGATCCCCCTCCCCCTCAGTTAGATCCCCCTCCCCCTCAGTTAGATCCCCCTCCCCCTCAGTTAGATCCCCCTCCCCTCAGTTAGATCCCCCTCCCCCTCAGTTAGATCCCCCTCCCCCTCAGTTAGATCTCCCTCAGTTAGATCTCCCTCCCCCTCAGTTAGATCCCCCTCCCCCTCAGTTAGATCCCCCTCCCCCTCAGTTAGATCCCCCTCCCCTCAGTTAGATCCCCCTCCCCCTCAGTTAGATCCCCCTCCCCCTCAGTTAGATCCCCCTCCCCCTCAGTTAGATCCCCCTCCCCCTCAGTTAGATCCCCCTCCCCCTCAGTTAGATCCCCCTCCCCCTCAGTTAGATCCCCCTCCCCCTCAGTTAGATCCCCCTCCCCCTCAGTTAGATCCCCCTCCCCCTCAGTTAGATCCCCCTCTCCCTCAGTTAGATCTCCCTCCCCCTCAGTTAGATCCCCCTCCCCTCAGTTAGATCCCCCTCCCCTCAGTTAGATCCCCCTCCCCCTCAGTTAGATCCCCCTCCCCCTCAGTTAGATCCCCCTCCCCTCAGTTAGATCCCCCCTCAGTTAGATCCCCCTCCCCTCAGTTAGATCCCCCTCCCCCTCAATTAGATCCCCCTCCCCCTCAGTTAGATCCCCCTCCCCCTCAGTTAGATCCCCCTCCCTCTCAGTTAGATCCCCCTCCCCCTCATTTAGATCCCCCTCTCCCTCAGTTAGATCCCCCTCCCCTCCGTTAGATTCCCCTCCCCTCAGTTAGATCCCCCTCCCCCTCAGTTAGATCCCCCTCCCCCTCAGTTAGATCCCCCTCCCCCTCAGTTAGATCCCCCTCCCCCTCAGTTAGATCCCCCTCCCCCTCAGTTAGAACCCCCTCCCCCTCAGTTAGATCCCCCTCCCCCTCAGTTAGATCCCCCTCCCCCTCAGTTAGATCCCCCTCCCCCTCAGTTAGATCCCCCTCCCCCTCAGTTAGAACCCCCTCCCCCTCAGTTAGATCCCCCTCCCCCTCAGTTAGATCCCCCTCCCCCTCAGTTAGATCCCCCTCCCCCTCATGTCAGTTAGATCCCCCTCCCCCTCAGTTAGATCCCCCTCCCCCTCAGTTAGATCCCCCTCCCCCTCAGTTAGATCCCCCTCCCCCTCAGTTAGATCCCCCTCCCCCTCAGTTAGATCCCCCTCCCCCTCAGTTAGATCCCCCTCCCCCTCAGTTAGATCCCCCTCCCCCTCAGTTAGATCTCCCTCCCCCTCAGTTAGAACCCCCTCCCCTTCAAGCTGGGATTCCAGTTAGATCCCCCTCCCCCTCAGTTAGATCCCCCTCCCCCTCAGTTAGATCCCCCTCCCCCTCAGTTAGATCCCCTCCCCCTCAGTTAGATCCCCCTCCCCCTCAGTTAGATCCCCTTCCCCCTCAGTTAGATCCCCCTACCCCTCAGTTAGATCCCCCTCCCCCTCAGTTAGATCCCCCTCCCCCTCAGTTAGATCCCCCTCCCCCTCAGTTAGATCCCCCTCCCCCTCAGTTAGATCCCCCTCCCCCTCAGTTAGATCCCCCTCCCCCTCAGTTAGATCCCCCTCCCCCTCAGTTAGATCCCCCTCCCCCTCAGTTAGATCCCCTCTCCCTCAGTTAGATCCCCCTCCCCCTCAGTTAGATCCCCCTCCCCCTCAGTTAGATCCCCCTCCCCCTCAGTTAGATCCCCCTCCCCCTCAGTTAGATCCCCCTCCCCCTCAGTTAGATCCCCCTCCCCCTCAGTTAGATCCCCTTCCCCCTCAGTTAGATCCCCCTCCCCCTCAGTTAGATCCCGCTCCCCCTCAGTTAGATCCCCCTCAGTTAGATCCCCCTCAGTTAGATCCCCCTCCCCCTCAGTTAGATCCCCCTCCCCCTCAGTTAGATCCCGCTCCCCCTCAGTTAGATCCCCCTCCCCCTCAGTTAGATCCCCCTCCCCCTCAGTTAGATCCCCCTCCCCCTCAGTTAGATCCCCCTCAGTTAGATCCCCCTCAGTTAGATCCCCCTCCCCCTCCGTTAGATCCCCCTCCCCCTCAGTTAGATCCCGCTCCCCCTCAGTTAGATCCCCCTCCCCCTCAGTTAGATCCCCCTCCCCCTCAGTTAGATCCCCCTCCCCCTCAGTTAGATCCCCCTCAGTTAGATCCCCCTCAGTTAGATCCCCCTCCCCTCAGTTAGATCCCCCTCCCCCTCAGTTAGATCCCCCTCCCTCTCAGTTAGATCCCCCTCCCCCTCAGTTAGATCCCCCTCAGTTAGATCCCCCTCAGTTAGATCCCCCTCCCCTCAGTTAGATCCCCCTCTCCCTCAGTTAGATCCCCCTCCCCCTCAGTTAGATCCCCTCCCCCTCAGTTAGATCCCCCTCCCCCTCAGTTAGATCCCCCTCCCCCTCAGTTAGATCCCCCTCCCCTCAGTTAGATCCCCCTCCCCCTCAGTTAGATCCCCCTCCCCCTCAGTTAGATCCCCCTCAGTTAGATCCCCCTCCCCCTCAGTTAGATCCCCCTCTCCCTCAGTTAGATCCCCCTCAGTTAGATCCCCCTCAGTTAGATCCCCCTCCCCCTCAGTTAGATCCCCCTCTCCCTCAGTTAGATCCCCCTCCCCCTCAGTTAGATCCCCCTCAGTTAGATCCCCCTCCCCCTCAGTTAGATCCCCCTCCCCCTCAGTTAGATCCCCCTCTCCCTCAGTTAGATAGTCCATCACACAAACTTTATAAACATTACATCGTGTATACTCCTCCCTGCTACTGAAGTAGTAAATAAAGTAGCACTAAACCTTCCCTTGCCATATTATATAGCCATAAAAGTGAAAGTGAAACTTACGATTGTCCAGTTCCTCCTGTAGTCTCCACACTTCTTCCTGCAGCTCCAACACGTTGTTGCTCTCCGAGTCAAGGATCTCGTCATTCAGCGAGTCTTCTAACTCTGTATCAATTGTCGCTGAAATAATGTTAAAATCACCTGCTTGGGTATGCTGTGTGGACTGTGTCTAGTTATTCAAGGAGTATATTTGTGAGATATCTCAAATATTCAACTTATGTTCACGAGAGAGACACATAGATTTTAATAATTTTATAAATCTCATTTCAGTGATTTAGCTTGAAAGTGAAAGTGAAAGTGAAAGTGAAAGTCTAATCGAAACTAACGAGCGAGGGAAGGATCAGCCTCTTTAGTGAACATAGGTACTGCCACAGACATCCTCTGTCTCATTTGGTGTCTCTTATCCACAGCAAGAGAATCGCCCGTTTGATCCTGAGAAATTAATGTTACAATAAAGTGAAACTGGAACTGAAAGTAAAACCTTCCAGGGTATAATAGGGGAAGCGAACGAATATCTCCTTGCGTATCACACTCCCCAACTTTTCAAGTTAGATATGAGTGGTAGTCATTAATACATACAATCATAGGTGCAGATTTCGTTTTGAGGTGAACTTTTAAGTTCCCGAGAAATCTTCTTAAGTTTGCTTTTTTTCTCCTCGGGCCCCACATCCAGAAAGTTTTATATTTCCTCCCAGATGCGTTTTTTTCTAAATTCTGTGGCCCGCTCGCTTCGCTCGCTAGTTTGCCTTTTTTCTCTGGGCCGCTCGTTTCGCTCGCAAATTTTTAACACTGGACCAATTCACGAGCAAGGCGAGTGCATAAAGCTCGCCGCAGGCGAAAAATTTTGAATTTTGTAAAGGCATAAAAGCCATGGAAGCAATTTGGTTATAGAGGTCTATTTGAAATGCTATTTCCAATAATCATTGCTTACAATCCTTACCTGAGTAATTTCCCCCTTTGAGACTTTATTTTGGGTTGAAAATTGAATTTATCGAGAGGGAGTGAAAAATCTCTGGTTCAAATTTGGATTTGAAGCCATGTTTAATTTTTTCTGTTGAGGTCAATTTTTTGCGCAGAAAGCGCTTGATTTTAGGGGAAAAAATTTAAGTTTGATTTTAATTTTTAAGGTGCCGTCGGCACCTGAAATCGACGAAATCTGCAGGGGTGCATACAATAATAGGTTATTCAATATATGTTTAGCGAATACCATAAGAATTAATTACCAATATAATTATAATAATTAAATATAAAAATTATAATTAAACCTGTAGTTTTTGTTGAGCCTTTTTAAGTCTTTTAGCTGCGTTCCTCGCGTTCTTCTCTTCCTTCTCAAGCTTCATCTTACACGCACTGAACTTAGCATGGAGCTCGTCCATCTGATCTCTTAACCTCTACATTAATAATAAATAGATTAATTATTTGAATATAAGTGCTTAACTAGACTATAGCTAGACTATAGATAGACTATAGCTAGGAGCATATGAAATGATGAGCTTGTAAACAGCCCATACCTGACACAAGTGTCAGGTACTAACCATGCCAGAGCTAAACGGTAATAACAGAAACTAGCGGCAGCTTCATTTGTTACTGTAAGAATATAAATCGTGAATGTGTTACTTGCGAGGAATAATCGTTACATTCGTTACAACCCTTACGAAGCAGATAAGGTACCTTGTTTTCCTCGGATGTCTCCTCCCGGTATCTTTTTAGCTCGTCAATGTTCTCCTGTTCTTCACAGTGCTGCCTCTGTTTCTCCTCCATTGCCTGGTCAGTACAGCATAGTAACCATAGCAACCATAGTAACCAAAGTAACCAAAGTAACCAAAGTGACCATAGTAACCATAGTAACCATAGTAACCATGGTGACCACAGTGGCCATAGTGACCATAGTGACCATAGTGACAATAGTGACCATAGTAATCATAGTGACCATAGTGACCATAGTGACCATAGTGACAATAGTTACCATAGTGACAATAGTGACCATAGTAATCATAGTGAACATAGTGACAATAGTGAACATAGTAACCATAGTAACCATAGTAGGGTAGTTTAAAAGATAACACGTGTATTTACCCCGTGTAGTTTAAAAGATAACACGTGTATTTACCCTGTGTAGTTTAAAAGATAACACGTGTATTTACCCTGTGTAGTTTAAAAGATAACACGTGTATTTACCCCGTGTAGTTTAAAAGATAACACGTGTATTTACCCTGTGTAGTTTAAAAGATAACACGTGTATTTACCCTGTGTAGTTTAAAAGATAACACGTGTATTTACCCCGTGTAGTTTAAAAGATAACACGCGTATTTACCCTGTGTAGTTAAAAGATAACACGTGTATTTACCCTGTGTAGTTTAAAAGATAACACGTGTATTTACCCTGTGTAGTTTAAAAGATAACACGTGTATTTACCCTGTGTAGTTTAAAAGATAACACGTGTATTTACCCTGTGTAGTTTAAAAGATAACACGTGTATTTACCCTGTGTAGTTTAAAAGATAACACGTATATTTACCCTGTGTAGTTTAAAAGATAACACGTGTATTTACCCTGTGTAGTTTAAAAGATAACACGTGTATTTACCCTGTGTAGTTTAAAAGATAACACGTGTATTTACCCTGTGTAGTTTAAAAGATAACACGTGTATTTACCCTGTGTAGTTTAAAAGATAACACGTGTATTTACCCCGTGTAGTTTAAAAGATAACACGCGTATTTACCCTGTGTAGTTAAAAGATAACACGTGTATTTACCCTGTGTAGTTTAAAAGATAACACGTGTATTTACCCTGTGTAGTTTAAAAGATAACACGTGTATTTACCCTGTGTAGTTTAAAAGATAACACGTGTATTTACCCTGTGTAGTTTAAAAGATAACACGTGTATTTACCCTGTGTAGTTTAAAAGATAACACGTGTATTTACCCTGTGTAGTTTAAAAGATAACACGTGTATTTACCCTGTGTAGTTTAAAAGATAACACGTGTATTTACCCTGTGTAGTTTAAAAGATAACACGTGTATTTACCCTGTGTAGTTTAAAAGATAACACGTGTATTTACCCTGTGTAGTTTAAAAGATAACACGTGTATTTACCCTGTGTAGTTTAAAAGATAACACGTGTATTTACCCTGTGTAGTTTAAAAGATAACACGTGTATTTACCCTGTGTAGTTTAAAAGATAACACGTGTATTTACCCTGTGTAGTTTAAAAGATAACACGTGTATTTACCCTGTGTAGTTTAAAAGATAACACGTGTATTTACCCTGTGTAGTTTAAAAGATAACACGTGTATTTACCCTGTGTAGTTTAAAAGATAACACGTGTATTTACCCTGTGTAGTTTAAAAGATAACACGTGTATTTACCCTGTGTAGTTTAAAAGATAACACGTGTATTTACCCTGTGTAGTTTAAAAGATAACACGTGTATTTACCCTGTGTAGTTTAAAAGATAACACGTGTATTTACCCTGTGTAGTTTAAAAGATAACACGTGTATTTACCCTGTGTAGTTTAAAAGATAACACGTGTATTTACCCTGTGTAGTTTAAAAGATAACACGTGTATTTACCCTGTGTAGTTTAAAAGATAACACGTGTATTTACCCTGTGTAGTTTAAAAGATAACACGTGTATTTACCCTGTGTAGTTTAAAAGATAACACGTGTATTTACCCTGTGTAGTTTAAAAGATAACACGTGTATTTACCCTGTGTAGTTTAAAAGATAACACGTGTATTTACCCCGTGTAGTTTAAAAGATAACACGTGTATTTACCCCGTGTAGTTTAAAAGATAACACGTGTATTTACCCTGTGTAGTTTAAAAGATAACACGTGTATTTACCCTGTGTAGTTTAAAAGATAACACGTGTATTTACCCTGTGTAGTTTAAAAGATAACACGTGTATTTACCCTGTGTAGTTTAAAAGATAACACGTGTATTTACCCTGTGTAGTTTAAAAGATAACACGTGTATTTACCCTGTGTAGTTTAAAAGATAACACGTGTATTTACCCCGTGTAGTTTAAAAGATAACACGTGTATTTACCCCGTGTAGTTTAAAAGATAACACGTGTATTTACCCTGTGTAGTTTAAAAGATAACACGTGTATTTACCCTGTGTAGTTTAAAAGATAACACGTGTATTTACCCTGTGTAGTTTAAAAGATAACACGTGTATTTACCCTGTGTAGTTTAAAAGATAACACGTGTATTTACCCTGTGTAGTTTAAAAGATAACACGTGTATTTACCCCGTGTAGTTTAAAAGATAACACGTGTATTTACCCCGTGTAGTTTAAAAGATAACACGTGTATTTACCCCGTGTAGTTTAAAAGATAACACGTGTATTTACCCTGTGTAGTTTAAAAGATAACACGTGTATTTACCCTGTGTAGTTTAAAAGATAACACGTGTATTTACACCACGTGTCATGACGTCACACCACGTGTCATGACGTCACACCACGTGTATTTACCCTGTGTAGTTTCTGGTATTCCTCCACCACCATCTTGTAAGCGTCCTGTAACTCGTCATACTTTATCAGCTCGTTCTGTGCCTCGTGTAGATACTTCTTTGTGAGTCTTATATCCTGACAGAGTGAAAGTGAAACTCTTATATCCTGACAGAGTGAAAGTGAAACTCTTATATCCTGACAGAGTGAAAGTGAAACTAAGGAACTTTCATATAATACTTAATCTTAGAGAGAGAGAGAGAGACTTAGTCGTCAACTTGAATACCACACTATAAACTATTGTCTTCAACTAACATGACATTATGTTTAAGCTAACCAAGTCTTAGCATTGAACGCTTTCAAATAACATACTCAATCATATCAGTGTAATCTCGTAAGATACAGAGTTGGCGAGGTTAACCGTCCCCCCTAACTCTTAATTGTACTAGCAGAAACCCGTCTAATTTGTTAATTAATTAATTTGTTCACCCAACATTTTTTGTGAAACTCGTTTTCGAGATAGTAGGGCATGTGACTGACCTTTTGAGTTTTTTTGGGGGTCCCGGACCCCAACCACTCACGGTGCAACCACCCACGGTGCAATCTAGGTAAACTATAGGTAAAAATATAATATTAATCATAAGCTAAAATGTACTAATCTTTGTATTCTAAATGGGGAAAAAGAAGAAACATTGCCAGTCAGTCGAGAAAATTGTCAGTCAGGCTATATTATGGCAGCTTTACCATATTCAGTCAATTTTTTGCCCAATTATGCCAAATCACCTCAAAACCCAAATTTTTGGTACTCTACTTATAATTATAGCTAGTAGTCTCCTGAACAAAAATTGGCTGAGTTATGAGCAAAAAACCATATGCCCATATTTGGTGGCTAGATAGGTCCTGTACGTAATAACGAGGGTCAGCTTGTGAGTTTTGGTGGCTAGATGGGTCCTGTACGTTATAACGAGGGTCAGCTTGTTGTTGTGTACCTCATTCTGCTCTGCCATCATCTTCTTCAAGTTCGCTTCCTCATTCTTCAAATTCTTTATTTCCTTATCAGTCCTCTTAATAATACCATCCATCTGGTTGTTTAGTTTCTCTACTTTTAGTTCGCCCTCTTTTTCAAGCTGCAGGCTCGCTTGTCGGAATACCTCCTTCTGTACCCTGGTCGAAATTTTTAATAAAATCAGTTCTTATTCAAACAGTTTAGTACTTATAAAACAGGAAATGTTCAGAGAATTTAAATTTATAAACGAAAAAAATAACCTGAGTTTCACTACTACTAGTGTTACTACTGTAAATAACCTGAGTTTCTCATCGCTCTTCTTGTGCTCCAGATCTAGCCCTATCTCATACTCGTGCAGGTTCTTCTCTAGCTCCTCTGTTCTGCGTTCCAGTGCAACACTCAGAGCGTCCATATCGTACTGAACTTGAGCTAAGTTCGACCTGAGTGTGGGTAAGAATGTGAGTGTGGGTAAGAATGTGAGTGTGGGTAAGAATGTGAGTGTGGGTAAGAATGTGAGTGTGGGTAAGAATGTGAGTGCGGGTAAGAATGTGAGTGTGGGTAAGAATGTGAGTATGGGTAAGAATGTGAGTGTGGGTAAGAATGTGAGTGTGGGTAAGAATGTGAGTGTGGGTAGAATGTGAGTGTGGGTAAGAATGTGAGTGTGGGTAAGAATGAGAGTGTGGGTAAGAATGTGAGTGTGGGTAAGAATGCGAGTGTGGGTAAGAATGCGAGTGTGGGTAAGAATGTGAGTGTGGGTAAGAATGTGAGTGTGGGTAAGAATGTAAGTGTGGGTAAGAATGAGAGTGTGGGTAAGAATGAGAGTGTGGGTAAGAATGTGAGTGTGGGTAAGAATGTGAGTGTGGGTAAGAATGTGAGTGTGGGTAAGAATGTGAGTGTGGGTAGAATGTGAGTGTGGGTAAGAATGTGAGTGTGGGTAAGAATGTGAGTGTGGGTAAGAATGTGAGTGTGGGTAAGAATGTGAGTGTGGGTAAGAATGTGAGTGTGGGTAAGAATGTGAGTGTGGGTAGAATGTGAGTGTGGGTAAGAATGCGAGTGTGGGTAAGAATGAGAGTGTGGGTAAGAATGTGAGTGTGGGTAGAATGTGAGTGTAGGTAAGAATGTGAGTGTGGGTAAGAATGCGAGTGTGGGTAAGAATGTGAGTGTGGGTAAGAATGTGAGTGTGGGTAGAATGTGAGTGTGGGTAAGAATGTGAGTGTGGGTAAGAATGTGAGTGTGGGTAAGAATGTGAGTGTGGGTAAGAATGTGAGTGTGGGTAGAATGTGAGTGTGGGTAAGAATGTGAGTGTGGGTAAGAATGTGAGTGTGGGTAAGAATGTGAGTGTGGGTAAGAATGTGAGTGTGGGTAAGAATGTGAGTGTGGGTAAGAATGTGAGTGTGGGTAGAATGTGAGTGTGGGTAAGAATGTGAGTGTGGGTAAGAATATGAGTGTGGGTAAGAATGTGAGTGTGGGTAAGAATGTGAGTGTGGGTAAGAATGTGAGTGTGGGTAAGAATGTTAGTGTGGGTAAGAATGTGAGTGTGGGTAGAATGTGAGTGTGGGTAAGAATGTGAGTGTGGGTAAGAATGTGAGTGTGGGTAAGAATGTGAGTGTGGGTAAGAATGTGAGTGTGGGTAGAATGTGAGTGTGGGTAAGAATGTGAGTGTGGGTAAGAATGTGAGTGTGGGTAGAATGTGAGTGTGGGTAAAATGTGAGTGTGGGTAAGAATGTGAGTGTGGGTAAAAATGTGAGTGTGGGTAGAATGTGAGTGTGGGTAGAATGTGAGTCATGTGGATAAGAATGTGAGTGTGGGTAAGAATGCGAGTGTGGGTAGAATGTGAGTGTGGGTAGAATGCGAGTGTGGGTAAGAATGTGAGTGTGGGTAAGAATGTGAGTGTGGGTAAGAATGTGAGTGTGGGTAAGAATGTGAGTGTGGGTAAGAATGTGAGTGTGGGTAAGAATGTGAGTGTGGGTAAGAATGTGAGTGTGGGTAAGAATGTGAGTGTGGGTAAGAATGTGAGTGTGGGTAAGAATGTGAGTGTGGGTAAGAATGTGAGTGTGGGTAGAATGTGAGTGTGGGTAGAATGTGAGTCATGTGGATAAGAATGTGAGTGTGGGTAAGAATGTGAGTGTGGGTAAGAATGTGAGTGTGGGTAGAATGTGAGTGTGGGTAAGAATGTGAGTGTGGGTAAGAATGTGAGTGTGGGTAAGAATGTGAGTGTGGGTAAGAATGTGAGTGTGGGTAAGAATGTGAGTGTGGGTAAGAATGTGAGTGTGGGTAAGAATGTGAGTGTGGGTAGAATGTGAGTGTGGGTAGAATGTGAGTCATGTGGATAAGAATGTGAGTGTGGGTAAGAATGTGAGTGTGGGTAAGAATGTGAGTGTGGGTAGAATGTGAGTGTGGGTAAGAATGTGAGTGTGGGTAAGAATGTGAGTGTGGGTAAGAATGTGAGTGTGGGTAGAATGTGAGTGTGGGTAAGAATGTGAGTGTGGGTAGAATGTGAGTCATGTGGATAAGAATGTGAGTGTGGGTAAGAATGTGAGTATGGGTAAGAATGCGAGTGTGGGTAAGAATGTGAGTGTGGGTAAGAATGTGAGTGTGGGTAAGAATGTGAGTGTGGGTAAGAATGTGAGTGTGGGTAAGAATGTGAGTGTGGGTAGAATGTGAGTGTGGGTAAGAATGTGAGTGTGGGTAAGAATGTGAGTGTGGGTAAGAATGTGAGTGTGGGTAAGAATGTGAGTGTGGGTAAGAATGCGAGTGTGTTAGATCTTATTTTAAACATTTCTAGCCAGAGTTCTTGAATGGATATCGTTCTATAGTTGTATCATTTAGTTTAACTAAACTTACTGTAAAGTGGTGATGACAGATTTAAAAGCAGCAATAGCTGACTCCCGCAGAGTATCGCTCTCCACCTCGTTAGAAGTGAGTATCGCCTCCACGTTGTAGCACAGTATTTGTGGTATTATCTGGTTCTCACCACGCGACATACTGTCTACTCGCTGAGGAGGAGAATATATAATACCCCTCTCTCAATTGTAATCAAAATAGCAACAAACCACACAGTATGAGCACTGAGTTACTGTTATCATAGTAACACTCCTAGTTACCCTACTGTTACCATAGTAACACTCCTAGTTACCCTACTGTTACCATAGTAACACTCCTAGTTACCCTTCTGTTACCATAGTAACACTCCTAGTTACCCTACTGTTACCATAGTAACACTCCTAGTTACCCTACTGTTACCATAGTAACACTCCTAGTTACCCTACTGTTACCATAGTAACACTCCTAGTTACCCTACTGTTACCATAGTAACACTCCTAGTTACCCTACTGTTACCTAGTTACCCTACTGTTACCTAGTTACCCTACTACTGAAGTACACTTACCTTGAGGAACTCTATGATAGATCTGTCAGTGGAGTCTTTAAGTCCCTTCTCCTCCCACACCTCCAGGACTCGCTCTATAGTTACACTCTCATCAGTCAGCTCCGGGAATAGGGGGGCAATGTTGTGGGCTGCAAATAGAAAATACACTACAGTATACACACTGCAAATAGAAAATACAGTACAGTATACACACTGCAAATAGAAAATACACTACAGTATACACACTGCAAATAGAAAATACAGTACAGTATATATACTACTTAAATGAGGCACACTACCTAGTAACAGTTAAATGAGGCACACTACCTAGTAACAGTTAAATGAGGCACACTACCTAGTAACAGTTAAATGAGGCACACTACCTAGTAACAGTTAAATGAGGCACACTACCTGGTAACAGTTAAATGAGGCACACTACCTAGTAACAGTTAAATGAGGCACACTACCTAGTAACAGTTAAATGAGGCACACTACCTAGTAACAGTTAAATGAGGCACACTACCTAGTAACAGTTAAATGAGGCACACTACCTAGTAACAGTTAAATGAGGCACACTACCTAGTAACAGTTAAATGAGGCACACTACCTGGTAACTGTTAAATGAGGCACACTACCTGGTAACAGTTAAATGAGGCACACTACCTAGTAACAGTTAAATGAGGCACACTACCTAGTAACAGTTAAATGAGGCACACTACCTGGTAACAGTTAAATGAGGCACACTACCTGGTAACAGTTAAATGAGGCACACTACCTAGTAACAGTTAAATGAGGCACACTACCTAGTAACAGTTAAATGAGGCACACTACCTAGTAACAGTTAAATGAGGCACACTACCTAGTAACAGTTAAATGAGGCACACTACCTAGTAACAGTTAAATGAGGCACACTACCTAGTAACAGTTAAATGAGGCACACTACCTAGTAACAGTTAAATGAGGCACACTACCTGGTAACAGTTAAATGAGGCACACTACCTAGTAACAGTTAAATGAGGCACACTACCTAGTAACAGTTAAATGAGGCACACTACCTGGTAACAGTTAAATGAGGCACACTACCTGGTAACAGTTAAATGAGGCACACTACCTAGTAACAGTTAAATGAGGCACACTACCTAGTAACAGTTAAATGAGGCACACTACCTAGTAACAGTTAAATGAGGCACACTACCTAGTAACAGTTAAATGAGGCACACTACCTGGTAACAGTTAAATGAGGCACACTACCTAGTAACAGTTAAATGAGGCACACTACCTGGTAACAGTTAAATGAGGCACACTACCTAGTAACAGTTAAATGAGGCACACTACCTAGTAACAGTTAAATGAGGCACACTACCTAGTAACAGTTAAATGAGGCACACTACCTAGTAACAGTTAAATGAGGCACACTACCTAGTAACAGTTAAATGAGGCACACTACCTAGTAACTGTTAAATGAGGCACACTACCTAGTAACAGTTAAATGAGGCACACTACCTAGTAACAGTTAAATGAGGCACACTACCTAGTAACAGTTAAATGAGGCACACTACCTGGTAACTGTTAAATGAGGCACACTACCTGGTAACAGTTAAATGAGGCACACTACCTAGTAACAGTTAAATGAGGCACACTACCTGGTAACTGTTAAATGAGGCACACTACCTAGTAACAGTTAAATGAGGCACACTACCTAGTAACAGTTAAATGAGGCACACTACCTAGTAACAGTTAAATGAGGCACACTACCTAGTAACAGTTAAATGAGGCACACTACCTGGTAACAGTTAAATGAGGCACACTACCTAGTAACAGTTAAATGAGGCACACTACCTAGTAACAGTTAAATGAGGCACACTACCTAGTAACATGTTGATTTTATCCAGTTCAGTAACGTTAACATTCTCTCCTAGCCCTGTCACCACATCCTCATCTCCTTCTACCTTGTAAAACTTATCCATATCTCTGATAGCCTGACTCAATCTGTCAAACCCCGGGTCTTTTGAGGGAGACGGAGTTCTTGAGACGACTTCACTATCACGTGACGTCACCACACTATCACGTGACGTCACCACACTATCACGTGTCGTCACCACACTATCACGTGTCGTCACCACACTATCACGTGACGTGATGCTCTTGGTATGGGTTGTACTAGACGGGCTCTTGGAGGAACCCCAGTCTGAATAGTTAGAGCGGGACTTGTTGAGGTTGTGTTGGTGGAAGAGGTTCAAACAGTTCTCCTCCGTGCAGTCACTCTGGTAGTTAGGAGAATTAGACCTTGTTAAGTTGTCGTGCTTAGGAGAATTAGACCTTGCAGAGTTTTTACTATTTCTGGAGGAGTTGGTTCTAATAATACTTGGTGACTCTGATCTTGGTCGGCTCAGCGAACCTGATCTTTTCAGGCTACCAGACCTTGCCACTGCAGTACCTCGGCCTTGCACCAATTTAGTGTCTCGGCTTTGTCTCAAATCCAGACTAAGACTCATTTCTTGGTTGCCAGGTAGAGGAGAACTGTAGCCATTATAAAATGAGGACATCCTGGATCCTGGTCGGGACAGCTGAGGACTTGCAGATCTACTTCTTATATTATTAGTACTGTTCAGTACACTCTTCTTCTGGATATTACTGTTTCCAGCTGTCAACTCCTCTGTTTCTTCTTTAGCAAATGTGAAAATCTTGTTTGATTTTGTTGCAATCAGTTCCGCGGGATGTTTCCCAAAAGGCGAGGTGAGTTTTGGCATTGGTAAGGGGGTAAGGGGCATGTAACAGCTAATCAAGTTGAGGTAGTCCGATCATATCCGCAACAAGAGGAGCTGTTATCTAGCAAAACAGAATATTTAGTACATAACAAAGAACAAGGCAGCAAGAGATGAAAAGTAACGATACAGAAGGTTGTATACTGATAATACATCAGCTTAATTACAACAGTTACCAATGTTCGCTCTCTCTGAGGGACAGGGTCAAATTTCAAACATTCTTAATAATACACACTACACACTACAATTTAAATAATACTAAGATACGCCATTCCAAGCAATATACCAGTTTTCTATTGTCACAATTAGATAGGCAATATGTACAAGTGTAATAAAAAAGCTTAAGAAAGAAAATTCACCTAATGGAAAAAATAACGAGTAAAGAAAATCATATTAAATTATTGACAAATGAGAGTCTCCACTCACTGTAAAAACTCTCATTTGTCACTTATAATCTAATATGATCGACCCACTTGAGAGACAAGGGTCTCGGTCAGGAGGACAATTCCTCGGTTTGCCTCGGCCTCGGTTTTATCAAAGCAAAATTTCCTCGGCCTCGGTCGACCCTTGTTGAGAGAGTGAAAAAAGATACTTAGTAAAGGAATTCATTGAAAAGAGAAGCAAACAAAATTATAAATGAGGTCAACTGAGCGACACTCCACAAGACACACTGCGCCATAACACACAAACAAGTTAAAAACCCCTAGCTAAATCACAAAGTTGCATCATCACAGTACAAACAACACAGAGCGGTGTGTTTTAACATTAAAATCTTGGCAAGCAGCGAAAAGTTTGAAACTAAAAATTGCACTTCGAAATTGTAAAGACTGAATTATAATATCAATATGCGACAAGCAATACATAAGTAGCCCGGACCTGACAGGAGAGGAGGGATCATCCAATCAGAGGACACCTCAGCGCCCACGTGACAACAAACAGCCAATCAGAGAGTAGACTAGAAATGTGTTTTACAATGAGAGCTTTACAGAGCAAGCAAGAATAGATAGGGTGGGCCCAGTTAGCACGTATCAAAACATGGTTAATTGGGGGGTCGCATGGTTATAGGGGGAGCATGGTTATAGGGGGGTGGCATGGTTATAGGGGGAGCATGGTTATAGGGGGGGGGGGGCATGGTTATAGGGGGAGCATGGTTATAGGGGGGGGGGGGGCATGGTTATAGGGGGAGCATGGTTATAGGGGGGTGGCATGGTTATAGGGGGAGCATGGTTATAGGGGGGGGGGGCATGGTTATATGGGGGGGGGGGGGGCATGGTTATAGGGGGGTGGCATGGTTATAGGGGGGCTTCTCATCGGGTAACTTTCCCAACCTAAAACAGATCAGGCAAGATCCACTAGAAAAACTTCACATCTCGTTTCTCAAGTGGACTCTCAACGTCAATAAACAAACATCAAATGCGGCAATTTGGGGTGACACAGGACGCTACCCTTTGGCGATAGAGCTATCATCCCAAGTGCTCAAGTGTATAACTACTGGGAAAGATTAGATAAAATGGAGAAAGCTGGATCTAACAGTCTTGTGCGACATGCCTTCAAAGAGCAACGCAGCCTCAGTCTTTCTTGGAACACCAACATCGAGACTGCACGGTCGGTTCTAAACCAACCCAATGGACATCATCTAAAACTCTCACCTTCACAAATCAAAGAAGCGATGCGTTCCAACTTCAGGCAGATATGGAACACTGAGAGATGGAACAACAAGAAACTAACGTTCTACAACACCATAAAGATGAGTTTTGGCTATGAGCAGTACCTCAATATGAATCTGTCGCACGCTGAATCCAAAAAGCTGGCTCAATTCAGATCAAGCTCACACAATTTCAATATTGAGACAGGACGTCATGGAACCCACAAAAGAAACCAGATCGTACCTCGGATATGTAAAGATTGCTCAACAGAGGACATGGACATGCTCGAAAATTTCGCAGAAATGCCATTCTTCGACCCCATCATCGAAGATGAGGTACACGTCCTCCGTATGAAGACTACCGACACCGCTTTAGTCAGAGAGCCAAAACCTGTCTTTTCGCTAACTTAGAGGGGCTATTCACAGATGCCAGCCTCATAAGAGAGACAGCGAGGTTCTTGGTGAGAGCAAACAACAGGCGTTTCCCGAAGAAGGAAGTCACTAAGAAGGATCTGCTGAAGTCCAGCTGTAAAGTCCCCGCTACACCTCAACAGAACTCCTCTGCGGACACGTGACGGTCAAGTCGAGCTTCATTTCATTTCATATCACGATCACCATATCATATCATTTTGGAACATGTTCATGGGAATTAAATTATTTTATTTGCTATTGTTTCTTTTTCAACAAAAGATGTGACGAAGTTAAATTTTTATGATTTTTAAATTTTTATTTTAAGAAAACTCTTGCACATTATTTATTTATTTATTTCTATTATATTGATGTATAGTCAAGACGTGAGTGTTAGGGCTCTCATTGACAAATTTATGTTTAATCCTGTTTAATCATGTTGAATCCTGTTTAATCCTGTTTAGGGGGGAGCATGGTTAATTGGGGGGTGGCATGGTTATAGGGGGAGCATGGTTATAGGGGGGTGGCATGGTTATAGGGGGAGCATGGTTATAGGGGGGGGGGGCATGGTTATAGGGGGAGCATGGTTATAGGGGGGGTATGGTTATATGGGGGGGGGGGGGGGGGGGCATGGTTATATGGGGGGGGGGCATGGTTATAGGGGGGTGGCATGGTTATTTGGGGGGGGGGGGGGGGTGGCATGGTTATAGGGGGGTGGCATGGTTATAGGGGGGTGGCATGGTTGTTGGGGGGTGGCATGGTTATAGGGGGGGATGGTTATAGGGGGGGTGGCATGGTTATAGGGGGGGGGGGCATGGTTATAGGGGGGGGGGGGGGGCATGGTTATAGTAACCATGCCCCCCCCCCCTATAACCATTGGTTATAGGGGGGGGGGGGGGGCATGGTTATAGGAGGAGGGGGGGCATGGTTATAGGGGGGAGGGGGGGGGCATGGTTATAGGAGGAGGGGGGGCATGGTTATAGGGGGGGAGGGGGGGGGGGGGGCATGGTTATAGGGGGGTGGTATGGTTATAGGGGGGGCATGGTTATAGGGGGTGGTATGGTTATAGGGGGGGGGGGGCATGGTTATAGGGGGTGGTATGGTTATAGGGGGGGGCATGGTTATAGGGGGGGGGGGTGGTATGGTTATAGGGGGGGGCATGGTTATAGGGGGTGGTATGGTTATAGGGGGGGGCATGGTTATAGTGGGGGGGGGGGTATGGTTATAGGGGGGGGGGGGTGGCATGGTTACTATACCCTCTGTGTGTAGTGTGTACCAACCTGGATCTTTAGAAAAGCACTTAGAGAGTTTCTTGTTGAGTAAAGCTTTTCCAGGGATCATCAAATACAAATCAAGTTTCAATAACGGTTCTTAACGATACTGTTGTTGAAGTTCGAATTTATGGAGGCCGGTAAAAGGAGGGATACCCGGCCATGTGTACAACCACAAATCATGCAGTGCACTACACACCAACCTGCTTTATGTGCGATAACACAGGTGAACAAAACCTCCTGGCTAAGCAATATCACACGTGACCTGACTCGTGCCCCGCTATGGGGGGATTATTGTCACGTGTCACAAAGGAGACCTTTCATTGGTGGGTTAGTCGGACCCCCCAGAGGGAAGGTTTATCTTCAGTTATTGAAGGTTCTACTGAAGTAGTACTGTGTGCACTGTTAGTTATTATCAAATACAAAACCAGTGTCGGAGTCAGCACTCTGCAGTTCTACATGAATAGTATAGTACACCCCCTACCCCCTAATAGAACACAAGTATAAAGGCAGTAGGATCAACAATCAACATATTGTGTTATCAGAGAAAAAACAACTAAACAGTGGACCGGGGACAGTGGAATATTAGTTGCCATAACAACCGCTCAATAGATACAGCATTAGAGTGCATCTTATCAAATTCTCGCAGACTTGTTATTACGGTCATCTCATTAACTAATTAGGGGGGGGGTGTAATTAGCTAATTAAATATTACCGTCTGGGTCAATTGTGGCGCTCCGTTTGATTACAGTGAGAGAAATTTACTTCACAGTGGGAGAAAGTGACGTCTAAGTGAGACAAAGTGACGTCACAGTGAGACAAAGTGACGTCACAGTGAGACAAAGTGACGTCACAGTGAGACAAAGTGACGTCACAGTGAGAGAAACTGAGAAAGTGACGTCACAGTGAGACAAAGTGACGTCACAGTGAGACAAAGTGACGTCACAGTGAGACAAAGTGACGTCACAGTGAGACAAAGTGACGTCACAGTGAGACAAAGTGACGTCACAATGAGAGAAACTGAGAAACTGACGTCACAGTGAGAGAAAGTGACGTCACAGTGAGAGAAAGTGACGTCACAGTGAGAGAAAGTGACGTTACAGTGAGATAAAGTGACGTCACAGTGAGAGAAAGTGACGTCACAGTGAGAGAAAGTGACGTCACAGTGAGAGAAAGTGACGTGGTACTTACTAGGAAAGGGGCTGAAGTTAGTGACACTTCTTCTCCCTGAAGCCACACCGCCTCCCCCTCCCCCGCGATCTGCAAACTCCTCCTGTAACATTCCCTGCTCCTGCCCATCTTTAAAGTGGTCCTGGAACACTCTGAGTCCGTTCAGAAACTCCTCAAATGTTACCAGACCATCCTTATTCTCGTCCAACTCTTGAAATAGCTCTATCAGATCCTGTCGGGTAATACATCGTTACCATGGTTACGTCATACATCGTTACCATGGTTACGTCATACATCGTTACGTCATGAGGCAATGTGTAATGATTATTTCTCTGAACAATTATCTAATCAATCGTATTGATTGTACAAATAATTAATGAAGTGCACCATAACCCCCCACACCCCCCATTATTACCCCCCTTCCCCCCATTATCACCCCCACAGATTCATGATTTCTATATCTGACCTGCTGGTTAGAAACCTCTATCCCAATTCTGTCACACAGAATGTTCAGCTCGTCCATGTTGATTGTCCCATCATCCCTACTGGCGACCTGTAAAGTAACACGTGTACATCATCCCTACTGGCGACCTGTAAAGTAACACGTGTACATCATCCCTACTGGCGACCTGTAAAGTAACACGTGTACAATAAACCATCATCCCTACTGGCGACCTGTAAAGTAACACGTGTACAATAAACCATCATCCCTACTGGCGACCTGTAAAGTAACACGTGTACAATAAACCATCATCCCTACTAGCGACCTGTAAAGTAACACGTGTACAATAAACCATCATCCCTACTGGCGACCTGTAAAGTAACACGTGTACATCATCCCTACTGGCGACCTGTAAAGTGACACGTGTACATCATCCCTACTGGCGACCTGTAAAGTAACACGTGTACATCATCCCTACTGGCGACCTGTAAAGTAGCACGTGTACAATAAACCATCATCCCTACTGGCGACCTGTAAAGTAGCACGTGTACAATAAACCATCATCCCTACTGGCGACCTGTAAAGTAACACGTGTACATCATCCCTACTGGCGACCTGTAAAGTAACACGTGTACATCATCCCTACTGGCGACCTGTAAAGTAACACGTGTACATCATCCCTACTGGCGACCTGTAAAGTAACACGTGTACATCATCCCTACTGGCGACCTGTAAAGTAACACGTGTACAATAAACCATCATCCCTACTGGCGACCTGTAAAGTAACACGTGTACATCATCCCTACTGGCGACCTGTAAAGTAACACGTGTACATCATCCCTACTGGCGACCTGTAAAGTAACACGTGTACATCATCCCTACTGGCGACCTGTAAAGTAACACGTGTACAATAAACCATCATCCCTACTGGCGACCTGTAAAGTAACACGTGTACATCATCCCTACTGGCGACCTGTAAAGTAACACGTGTACATCATCCCTACTGGCGACCTGTAAAGTAGCACGTGTACAATAAACCATCATCCCTACTGGCGACCTGTAAAGTAACACGTGTACATCATCCCTACTGGCGACCTGTAAAGTAACACGTGTACAATAAACCATCATCCCTACTGGCGACCTGTAAAGTAACACGTGTACATCATCCCTACTGGCGACCTGTAAAGTAACACGTGTACATCATCCCTACTGGCGACCTGTAAAGTAGCACGTGTACAATAAACCATCATCCCTACTGGCGACCTGTAAAGTAACACGTGTACAATAAACCATCATCCCTACTGGCGACCTGTAAAGTAACACGTGTACAATAAACCATCATCCCTACTGGCGACCTGTAAAGTAACACGTGTACATCATCCCTACTGGCGACCTGTAAAGTAACACGTGTACATCATCCCTACTGGCGACCTGTAAAGTAACACGTGTACAATAATCCCTACTGGCGACCTGTAAAGTAACACGTGTACATCATCCCTACTGGCGACCTGTAAAGTAACACGTGTACATCATCCCTACTAGCGACCTGTAAAGTAACACGTGTACAATAAACCATCATCCCTACTGGCGACCTGTAAAGTAACACGTGTACATCATCCCTACTGGCGACCTGTAAAGTAACACGTGTACATCATCCCTACTGGCGACCTGTAAAGTAACACGTGTACATCATCCCTACTAGCGACCTGTAAAGTAACACGTGTACATCATCCCTACTGGCGACCTGTAAAGTAACACGTGTACATCATCCCTACTGGCGACCTGTAAAGTAACACGTGTACATCATCCCTACTGGCGACCTGTAAAGTAACACGTGTACATCATCCCTACTGGCGACCTGTAAAGTAGCACGTGTACATCATCCCTACTGGCGACCTGTAAAGTAGCACGTGTACATCATCCCTACTGGCGACCTGTAAAGTAACACGTGTACATCATCCCTACTGGCGACCTGTAAAGTAACACGTGTACATCATCCCTACTGGCGACCTGTAAAGTAACACGTGTACATCATCCCTACTGGCGACCTGTAAAGTAACACGTGTACATCATCCCTACTGGCGACCTGTAAAGTAACACGTGTACAATAAACCATCATCCCTACTGGCGACCTGTAAAGTAACACGTGTACAATAAACCATCATCCCTACTGGCGACCTGTAAAGTAACACGTGTACATCATCCCTACTGGCGACCTGTAAAGTAACACGTGTACAATAAACCATCATCCCTACTGGCGACCTGTAAAGTAACACGTGTACAATAAACCATCATCCCTACTGGCGACCTGTAAAGTAACACGTGTACATCATCCCTACTGGCGACCTGTAAAGTAACACGTGTACAATAAACCATCATCCCTACTGGCGACCTGTAAAGTAACACGTGTACAATAAACCATCATCCCTACTGGCGACCTGTAAAGTAACACGTGTACAATAAACCATCATCCCTACTGGCGACCTGTAAAGTAACACGTGTACAATAAACCATCATCCCTACTGGCGACCTGTAAAGTAACACGTGTACAATAAACCATCATCCCTACTGGCGACCTGTAAAGTAACACGTGTACAATAAACCATCATCCCTACTGGCGACCTGTAAAGTAACACGTGTACAATAAACCATCATCCCTACTGGCGACCTGTAAAGTAACACGTGTACATCATCCCTACTGGCGACCTGTAAAGTAACACGTGTACATCATCCCTACTGGCGACCTGTAAAGTAACACGTGTACATCATCCCTACTGGCGACCTGTAAAGTAACACGTGTACATCATCCCTACTGGCGACCTGTAAAGTAACACGTGTACAATAAACCAGTGACACGTGTACAATTAACCAGTGACACGTGTGCAATTAACCAGTGACACGTGTACAATTAACCAGTGACACGTGTACAATTAACCAGTGACACGTGTACAATTAACCAGTGACACGTGTACAATTAAACAGTGACACGTGTGCAATTAACCAGTGACACGTGTACAATTAACCAGTGACACGTGTACAATTAACCAGTGACACGTGTACAATTAACCAGTGACACGTGTACAATTAACCAGTGACACGTGTACAATTAACCAGTGACACGTGTACAATTAACCAGTGACACGTGTATAATTAAACAGTGACACGTGTACAATTAACCAGTGACACGTGTACAATTAAACAGTGACACGTGTGTTATTAACCAGTGACACGTGTACAATTAACCAGTGACACGTGTACAATTAAACAGTGACACGTGTGTTATTAAACAGTGACACGTGTACAATTAACCAGTGACACGTGTACAATTAACCAGTGACACGTGTATAATTAACCAGTGACACGTGTACAATTAACCAGTGACACGTGTACAATTAACCAGTGACACGTGTGTTATTAAACAGTGACACGTGTACAATTAACCAGTGACACGTGTACAATAAACCAGTGACACGTGTACAATTAACCAGTGACACGTGTACAATTAACCAGTGACACGTGTACAATTAAACAGTGACACGTGTACAATTAACCAGTGACACGTGTACAATTAACCAGTGACACGTGTACAATTAACCAGTGACACGTGTGCAATTAACCAGTGACACGTGTACAATTAACCAGTGACACGTGTACAATTAACCAGTGACACGTGTACAATTAAACAATGACACGTGTGTAATTAACCAGTGACACGTTCACAATTAAACAGTGACACGTGTACAATTAACCAGTGACACGTGTACAATTAAACAGTGACACGTGTACAATTAACCAGTGACACGTGTACAATTAACCAGTGACACGTGTACAATTAACCAGTGACACGTGTGCAATTAACCAGTGACACGTGTACAATTAACCAGTGACACGTGTACAATTAACCAGTGACACGTGTACAATTAAACAGTGACACGTGTACAATTAACCAGTGACACGTGTACAATTAACCAGTGACACGTGTACAATTAACCAGTGACACGTGTACAATTAAACAGTGACACGTGTATAATTAAACAGTGACACGTGTACAATTAACCAGTGACACGTGTACAATTAACCAGTGACACGTGTACAATTAACCAGTGACACGTGTACAATTAACCAGTGACACGTGTGCAATTAACCAGTGACACGTGTACAATTAACCAGTGACACGTGTACAATTAAACAGTGACACGTGTACAATTAAACAGTGACACGTGTACAATTAACCAGTGACACGTGTGCAATTAACCAGTGACACGTGTACAATTAACCAGTGACACGTGTACAATTAACCAGTGACACGTGTGCAATTAACCAGTGACACGTGTACAATTAACCAGTGACACGTGTACAATTAAACAGTGACACGTGTACAATTAAACAGTGACACGTGTACAATTAACCAGTGACACGTGTACAATTAACCAGTGACACGTGTACAATTAGCTCACCTCGTTAAACATTTGCCAGACTAGTCTCTCTTCGCTGTCGCCGTCGAACTGACTGTTAAATTATTACTGCTAATATTACGTCATGGTTCACCATAAGTAATATTACTAATAATGGTAGTAGTAATAGTAATATTACTAATAATGGTAGTAGTAATAGTAATATTACCAATAATGGTAGTAGTAATAGTAATATTACCAATAATGGTAGTAGTAATAGTAATATTACCAATAATGGTAGTAGTAATAGTAATATTACCAATAATGGTAGTTGTAATAGTAATATTACCAATAATAGTAGTAGTAGTAATAGTAATATTACCAATAATGGTAGTAGTAATAGTAATATTACCAATAATAGAAGTAGTAATAGTAATATTACCAATAATAGAAGTAGTAATAGTAATATTACCAATAATGGTAGTAGTAATAGTAATATTACCAATAATAGTAGTAGTAATAGTAATATTACCAATAATGGTAGTAGTAATAGTAATATTACCAATAATAGTAGTAGTAATAGTAATATTACTAATAATAGAAAATATAAGACGTATAGTGTATAGTGTATAGTGTATACGATTAGGTAATAGGTAAGGAATAAGGATGTTATTTCTTTATCTCGATTAGATATCACGTGCAAAGCATGCTGGTTTCAGCAACTTATCGCATGCTATCAGGCGCTCAAGGGTTCAGATATAGAGGGAGGGGGTAGAGTTATAGTGTGTCACTCACCCAATACCATCAATGTAATCTGGACTAGGTTCCTTTTTCTTTTCCCTGGCCTTGTTTTTATCATATTAATTTAGGAGACAGAATAATTAATACTAAAATAAACTTTGTTTTAATAAAAACAATGACTATCAGGGTATCTAGAGAGGGAAGGAGAATAAACCTTGTTTTTGCGAGGTGACCTCTCAGTGTCAGAATCCTCGTAGTCAGACCTTCCGTAGGATTTCTTGGGTGTTTTAGCTGAGTTTTTAATGTTTTACTACTAATATACAGTAGTAGAGCATCATTGCGACCTACTAATATTATCATCTAACCTAACATTGCGACCTACTAATATTATCATCTAACTTAACATTGCGACCTACTAATATCATCTAACCTAACATTGCAACCTACTAATATCATCTAACCTAACATTGCGACCTACTTATATCATCTAACTTAACATTGCGACCTACTAATATCATCTAACCTAACATTGCGACCTACTAATATCATCTAACCTAACATTGCGACCTACTTATATCATCTAACCTAACATTGCAACCTACTTATATCATCTAACCTAACATTGCGACCTACTTATATCATCTAACCTAACATTACGACCTACTTATATCATCTAACCTAACATTGCGACCTACTTATATCATCTAACTTAACATTGCGACCTACTAATATCATCTAACCTAACATTGCGACCTACTAATATCATCTAACCTAACATTGCGACCTACTTATATCATCTAACCTAACATTGCGACCTACTAATATCATCTAACTTAACATTGCGACCTACTAATATCATCTAACCTAACATTGCGACCTACTTATATCATCTAACCTAACATTGCAACCTACTTATATCATCTAACCTAACATTGCGACCTACTAATATCATCTAACTTAACATTGCGACCTACTTATATCATCTAACCTAACATTGCGACCTACTAATATCATCTAACTTAACATTGCGACCTACTTATATCATCTAACCTAACATTGCGACCTACTAATATCATCTAACCTAACATTGCGACCTACTTATATCATCTAACCTAAGATTGCAACCTACTAATATCATCTAACCTAACATTGCGACCTACTAATATCATCTAACCTAACATTGCGACCTACTTATATCATCTAACCTAACATTGCGACCTACTTATATCATCTAACCTAACATTGCGACCTACTAATATCATCTAACCTAACATTGCGACCTACTAATATCATCTAACTTAACATTGCGACCTACTAATATCATCTAACCTAACATTGCGACCTACTAATATCATCTAACTTAACATTGCGACCTACTTATATCATCTAACCTAACATTGCGACCTACTAATATCATCTAACCTAACATTGCGACCTACTTATATCATCTAACCTAAGATTGCAACCTACTAATATCATCTAACCTAACATTGCGACCTACTTATATCATCTAACCTAACATTGCGACCTACTTATATCATCTAACCTAACATTGCGACCTACTAATATCATCTAACCTAACATTGCGACCTACTTATATCATCTAACCTAACATTGCGACCTACTAATATCATCTAACTTAACATTGCGACCTACTAATATCATCTAACCTAACATTGCGACCTACTTATATCATCTAACCTAACATTGCAACCTACTTATATCATCTAACCTAACATTGCGACCTACTAATATCATCTAACTTAACATTGCGACCTACTTATATCATCTAACCTAACATTGCGACCTACTAATATCATCTAACTTAACATTGCGACCTACTTATATCATCTAACCTAACATTGCGACCTACTAATATCATCTAACCTAACATTGCGACCTACTTATATCATCTAACCTAAGATTGCAACCTACTAATATCATCTAACCTAACATTGCGACCTACTAATATCATCTAACCTAACATTGCGACCTACTAATATCATCTAACCTAACATTGCGACCTACTAATATCATCTAACCTAACATTGCGACCTACTTATATCATCTAACCTAACATTGCGACCTACTAATATCATCTAACCTAACATTGCGACCTACTTATATCATCTAACCTAACATTGCGACCTACTAATATCATCTAACTTAACATTGCGACCTACTTATATCATCTAACTTAACATTGCGACCTACTTATATCATCTAACCTAACATTGCGACCTACTAATATCATCTAACCTAACATTGCGACCTACTTATATCATCTAACCTAACATTGCGACCTACTAATATCATCTAACCTAACATTGCGACCTACTAATATCATCTAACTTAACATTGCGACCTACTTATATCATCTAACCTAACATTGCGACCTACTAATATCATCTAACCTAACATTGTGACCTACTAATATCATCTAACCTAACATTGCGACCTACTTATATCATCTAACCTAACATTGCGACCTACTTATATCATCTAACCTAACATTGCGACCTACTTATATCATCTAACTTAACATTGCGACCTACTAATATCATCTAACCTAACATTGCGACCTACTAATATCATCTAACCTAACATTGCGACCTACTAATATCATCTAACCTAACATTGCGACCTACTTATATCATCTAACTTAACATTGCGACCTACTTATATCATCTAACCTAACATTGCGACCTACTAATATCATCTAACCTAACATTGTGACCTACTAATATCATCTAACCTAACATTGCGACCTACTTATATCATCTAACCTAACATTGCGACCTACTTATATCATCTAACCTAACATTGCGACCTACTTATATCATCTAACCTAACATTGCGACCTACTAATATCATCTAACCTAACATTGCGACCTACTTATATCATCTATCCTAACATTGCGACCTACTTATACCATCTAACCTAACATTGCGACCTACTTATATCATCTAGCCTAACATTGCGACCTACTAATATCATCTAACCTAACATTGCGACCTACTAATATCATCTAACCTAACATTGCGACCTACTTATATCATCTAACTTAACATTGCGACCTACTAATATCATCTAACCTAACATTGCGACCTACTTATATCATCTAACCTAACATTGCGACCTCTTGCTCAATCTCATCGTACTCATCTTCGTCTTCGTCCTCTGCAATTATACAATTAGGAGCAATTAACTTATTCTGGTAATAATAAGTAATCTAACTAGGATCTAAGAAGTGATCAAGTTGCGCGATGACAATTTTGTATATTGATATTATACACAAAACTGCAATATTTAACAGATTATTATATTTATGATATTATACACATAACTGCAATATTTAACAGATCATTATATTTATGATATTAGACACATAACTGCAATATTTAACAGATTATTATATGTATGATATTAGTTTCCTCTTACCGGGATGGTCTGGGTCCACCAGGAAGTCCTGGAGTCCAACTCTGAACTCCTCAAAAGAGACATGTCCGTCCCCGTCATCATCCAGTGTTCTCATGAGAAGGGGAACTTGTACTGTCGCCTGGATAGTGACGTCATCATTATAGATCAGTATAACGTGACGTCATCATTATAGATCAGTATAACGTGACGTCATAATGTGTCATCATTATATCTCGGGATAACGTGACGTCAAAATTATATCTCGGGATAACATGATGTCATCATTATATCTCGTGAAGGCTCACACATTTTCACCCAATTAATTTTAAAAAAAGTTTGACCTGATCGGGAGGAACCCCAAGTTTGCCGAGTAAAGTGACCATCTCGTGGGCGTCAATGTAGCCACTGTCGTCCTCATCACACTGACGAAACAGGTCCCGCAGGTGGGTGTCCTGATCTGAACTCTGAGAAGGATGGTGTGTAATGCGCTACACACACACACACACACACACACACACACACACACACACACACACACACACACACACACACACACACACACACACACACACACACACACACACACACACACACACACACACACACACACACACACACACACACACACACACACACACACACACACACACACACACACACACACACACACACACACACACACACACACACACACACACACACACACACACACACACACACACACACACACACACACACACACACACACACACACACCCCCACACACACACACACACACACACACACACACACACACACACACACACACACACACACACAAATTTTACTTACCATTTTGTCAGATCGTTCTTCAGTTAAACAAGCGTAGCCATGGCAACGGAATAAGAGATTGCATTACAACGTACATAACGAGTCATCCTAGGGTAGATTTAATTAATATGATCAAATTTGTAGCCCCCCAGTTACCTCGAACTGCAAGATTGCAGGGAAGATGCCAATAAAATAGATAAATTTAGCAGGTGTAATTGTGTAAATGAAGGCAAATAAAATGATGCTAATTTATGGTTGTAACGGTTTATACTTTATATGACCAAAAGTTGAGATCACTTGCGTTTTTATTGATTTCTGTGGCTAAATAATGTATTATTATTATATCATAATTATTAATTTCGGGAGGCCTCGTCTGCTGACAGTGCTCAATCGGCAAGCCAAGAGTGACCTACAAATTGAAACGACAGGTTAGGTCGGTTTTAACCCGTCGTTTCAATTTGTATTATAATTATTGTATATTATATATAATATTATATATTTTATATATATTATATATATTATTATATATTTTCCGCTTATTTTAACCCCGTGCTTGTGTGAGGCTAATATAAAATTAGAATTGGATCACTATGTGTAGGTGCATATCCGTTCATTTCTTGTGAAATGTTCCTGAGGCTATGAAAGTAACATCGATTGATATATTTTTGAGCAAAAAAATTGGTTTGGTCACATGCAATTACGACTGTTTAGGGTTACAATTACGGTTACAGTTTGTGTTACACTTACAGTAAGGGTTAGGGTTACAGTTAGGGTACAGGTTTACCATAGAAACCGGAATCAATATGTATGAACTTCCTCATTAATGATTAAAGGAATGTACAATTTTTGTTTAACTTAACCGCAACTGAAGGCACAAGAGTTCTTTACCAGACAGCGATCAGCCTGTCACTCCACCATATCTTCATTAGTGTTTGCAAACAGTAAGCCTGGGCTCCTCAGGTAAGATTTTATTTGTTTCGTCTGTAAAATTATATAATATCTACAATAAATAATTTAGAAAATGTATATAAACAAATTTAGGAGACCTTAAAGTTTGCCTATCTGGGCTGATAAAGACTTTAACAAAAAGTTACGGAGATGCCTGGCTCTAGTCAAAATCTGCTGCACGATTGTGGAGCTCGTCAAAGTCACCTTAACAGGTCTATCAGCCACTTTTTTCTTATCCTTGGGTTTGTTCAAACCAATGACCTATCCAATGTAAAATACTGGGTAAAAATGAGTCTAATGCTGATAACTCTGTTAATCCACGTATTAAACCATGTGCAAAGTGTGTCCGCTCTAAATCGGTAGTTCATAATAAACTTGCTAGACCTTTATGTTGTCAAAAACTAGGAGCCGAATTCTATTCCAAGGAATCAACCAAACCATTATTTACCAGCCATAAACTCCTTACTGTTCATAATCTTTACAGACTTCGTACTATAACTGAACTTTTTTAAATAGTGAAATATATGATATAGGGTCTCTCTACTCTTTACTTAACATGTCTGAACTGAGGGATGACCGTCTAATACCACCAAAGCCCAGCTATAACTTTATTTATAAATCTTCTCGTCTTTGGAATCAATTCAAGGACTCCAACCCACAGAATAAAGTTGACTTTGTTAACACATCCTGCAACTCAATCAAATCAAGGCTTTACCGATCTCTTCTAGATGCCCAAAGCAGGTTCGATAATGAGTGGCACAATGGCAACTAACAGTTTTGGGCAGTCCTAAATAATTGATAAAACGTGGAATTTATGTAAACAAATACTTAAATATTACCGTTTTTGTACGCCGCAATACGTAATATATATTATAAGCGCGCTGCAGCTACTCACTACTTTAAAATTTGCGCGGGTATCTTTAGCACGCATGTACGTTTATTCTTGGCCGATAATCCGGCCCTGTGACATAACGCTATATGGGGCAGTGACTGTGATTTTTCGACAACTACTAAATCATCCATCCATAAAAGTGATTTACAAAATGACACCTAAACCTCGTGTCTCGGTGTTCACTTAAACGGTACTTGGCGGCTGAACTGTGGTGTCTAACGTTTGCAGCTAAATTTGACTCCTCTAATATTATTAAATTGTTAATGTGTATGATTTTTAAATATTGAACATACTCTGCAACCTGGTAGCGCGGCTGACACAAAAACAAAAGTTTGGCCTGGCTTGTGCATAATCTAGTAAATAACCTGCGCTCTGATAAAAGCCGTCCGGAGAAACTCCGTAAAATGTTCATTGTAGTCAAGCGACACAAAGAAGCATCACTAGCAATTGTGTCCTTTACCCTCTTACACAATTTGGGAATTTTCGTGGCTAATTCATTGAAACACGTCAGATTTAATACGTATTAAACAAATCAGTAAGTTAGCTTTTCATGTACGCTGTAGTTCGGAAATGTAAAACTCTTTTTATCAGCCGCACGCTGAACCAGTGTTGCTAAGTATTGTGTCTTTTTTTGTACATTTTGTAAATTGTAAGTGTAAATTAATTTATTAATTTATCACTTGTACAAATATCACAAATTATTTTAGTAAGTAAGTAAGTAAGTAAAGATTATGACATAACATCATCACAAGTGTCTACAAAATATCATTGCACTAAATAGAAAAATAATCTAAATAAATACAGGGTGGGCCAAAAGTCAGTGGGCATACGTTGGCCTTAATAGCTCCGCCGTGTTTTATATTTGAGAGCTGTTGCTTTGCAGATGGCATACTATACTTACTGGTTCGAGGATTCCGTCGTCAAAATTTGAAAATTCGAATATTTTAGACCATGCCCATTCAAAATTAAAACACCAATATTTTTTTCTATGAACATGCTGAACGCCCAATTTTTTCAGAGACGGTAGATTATTAAATGTTGCATATGATCTGAAAACATGAGGCAAAACGGATTAGAAATGACGAAGTTATCAAGCATTTTCTGTATCTCGTTAACAAAATTGACTGGGTGATTATGTGACATGACACGACACCTTAATTGGGCACCCTTAACAATTCCCATAATGTTTAACAGGGTGGTTAACGGGGTCACCTAATCACGTGATTAGGTAAACCAATCACCTGATCACACGTAATGAATAAACTCGTTATGCTTCATATCACGGTCATCTGAGAAGCTACAGTTCTAATTTTTTTCAGGACAAACGTAATTCGAATGGCCAAACACAATTTAATAAAATTTAGCTCGATCCGACTATCCAAGCTATCAAATAAATGCAAAAATGAATATTTTTCAATTTGACAAATTCCTCGAACCAGTGGTGGTAGTAAGTCATACCAGAAAGAATTATTCCAATTGGGCACTCAGTGACTGAGCTATTAAGGCCAACATATACCCACTGACTTTTGGCCCACCCTGTATATTTTTCCATCATCATTAACCCATTAGGGACGACGAGTTTTAAAGTTTGCCGATTTTGATGCCGTTTAACACACTAGGTCACATTACAGCAAAAATGAGATATCCAAAAAAGCTAATCTGTATCTCGTTTACTTTCAAAGATACAGCTATGGTCGCATACGACCCACTCGTCCGGGTCGCAAACGACCCATCACGGTTTTTCGGCTATTACTTCTGAAACAAAGACGTTAGGATAAAATAAAAACTGTAGCTTAAGTTAAAAACATATGGTCAATACTGTGTGACTCTAACTTTTCAAAAATAGAGAATTTGGGTCATTAACGACCCACTCGGCTCACTTGCTTATTACTACATTTGTCCATGTAACTTCTTGAATTCAGCCTAAAACATGACATCTTAAGTGCAAAATCGCCTCTCAGCAAGTGATTATCATCATAAACTGCGAAAAATCGGTTAGATGGGTCATTAGAGACCCACTAGGACCACAAAATTGATTAATTAAATATAATGTTGTCAAACTATTACAAATATTAGTATAAAAACATGTTATATCTTGGTCATTACTCCTGTACGTTGATTTAACTTTTAAAATCGATCAACTGGGTCAATAACGACCCACTCGGAAGTTGAACCACGTCATTAATTATCAGTATCATGCTGTTCCACCATCAAGAAAGACACTCGTAGGTCTTAATTCCACGCAAACCACGGGTGGATGACCACTAGCCCTCCTGAGATCTGGAGTCTCAAGGTGATCTGCAGATCACGTCACCCAATCACTGACGAATAATGGGCAGAATTGGATTGATAGGTAGGTGAGTTTATCAGCTGTTAGTACACGACCGTAATGTCGTGAGACAACAAACAACGTGCCTATCTTTTCCCGATTCCTAAAAAGTCCAAGAAGAACTATACAACTGCTGGATTCAGATTTCAGATGGCTGCAATATCTACTCATTTCGCAGCTGCCTTTCTTTACTTCTTAGGGGCCGTTCACATTGACATAATATTACGTAATCACTTATTGGACAATTTTTAGCCCCGCCCCCCCCCCCCCCCTCACCACATAGCTATTATGTCAAAATTACACTAGCGTAATCATTTGGAAACCCCCCTCCCTCTCGGCCGATTACGTAATACTTGGTTTCGTTTTGAAAGCTGCCTCGTTGTTGCGGGGTTGTTACCCACAACGAAGTAGTTGTCTGAGAGATTGCAGGTTGCAGCACCGCCAGCCAGATGGGGGGGGGGCTTTTTTCCTTGTCCTTCTTCACAGAGCTGTAGATTTAGCCGTCTGAATGCGGCAGTTGTTTAGTTATTCTTGTACTTTCTAGGAATGGCAAACAGATTGGCATGTTGGATTAGAATATGCAATTTGACCGCTCTTCTTTCAGTATTTACCCAAGGATACAGGATATCTCGTAAACTTCGTTCAGGGATTTTTCTTGAGTCTCATGATCTGATCACCGTGGGACCCTGGGTCTCAAGCGGTGAGTTGTAGCAGGTCGTTTACCAAGATTCGAAATTGACGAAAAAGGTAACAGAATCTAATAAGCAACAACAACAGCATGGCTATTACCTAGCAAGTTAGGAACGAGGGCCGATCTCCTTTTCTTTTGCGACACGGCCACGGTCCTTTCGGTACAGATTTCCACGCACCATAGTCAGGACGCAACTCCAGGCATATGCAGTCGTGTTATTCTCGCAGCTCTTTGATGAGTGATGACTGCC